TTCAACACAGAAATTTGTTAAAGCAGAAGTTAGCCACTGCTAACATGCAGGCCAGAAGAATAGGCAAGTCTTTCTGGCTACAGCTGACAAAAGAGTGGGCAGCTCCCTAAAACACAGGAAAAATAGTGCACCTGAAGGATGAGCTCTTTTTTGCAGACACCGGGCTACTAAAGAATGGCAGAAACCATACAACATGGGGGAAGTGGCATTCAGCCTTCTTACCTGTTCCTGTCATTGTATGTGAGGAGGCAGGGCAGAATCAGAGTGACTGAGGTTGGAAGGACCTTTGCAGGTCGTCTTGTCCAACCCCCCCTGCTCAAGCAAGGGATGTCCTGGAGAGTGCATTTTGGATGAAGCAGGAGATGAATGGGAGCAAAACTGCCTTGGTCTCCCTGCTTCTCACACAACCGACACATCAAACTTTCAGGACACAGGCAGCAGAAAAATTAAAAAAGCACAACCACAAATGAGTTGCACTCACATTTGTTTACTACTCCACTCAAATCTAAAAACTAGATTTAATATACAGTAAGGCAGGCAGAACCAGTTTCAAGGCGAGATAAGCAGAGCAATATCTAATGTATCAAGATTATACAGGGCTCCACTACGTCAGTATGTACGTCAAATCATTCAAAAAGTGAATGAATGGAGAGGGAAGGAACCATACTTTTGCCTCTGTGCCAGTACAAGCCCTCCACCCAATAATTCCTCCTCCAGGACTATCTGTCAAGTTACATCTTACCCTGGGCAAAGACGGGGTTAAAAAAAAAAAAGCAGGAAACAGGCAATAATGCTTGGGCATGCATGTGTGCCACAGATGTTGTCAAAGTCTCAGAGATGAAGGGCAGTGCTATTTTCTCACTTAACCTTGTATTTGAAGCATCCGATAGTTACATTTCCAACAATTCCTGCTTCTCTGTATGGATCCTCTCACATAAAGAGAAAGGTTGACTACATGGTACATAGAGGTGACTAACTGATTTTTCAGAACATAAAATTTGGAGACCTCCACCAAATTTGGTTACTGGGATCAAAAGTTTTTCTAAGGTAGGAAAAAACCCAATCTAAATGGCAGCACATACGTGTCTGTGTACTCACAGATACCTTCCAAGATCTGCATTAGCCCCTTTGCCTTCCTGCTCTCCCCATTCCCTGATTAGTGCAGGCATCTCTTCCACTGATGGCAGTCTGACTGACAACAATTGCTTGCAAGAAGGCTACGCTGGTGCTGGGAGGGAGGCAGGCATTTAGTTGAACAGATCAGATACAAAACTGTACAAAAAACATCTCCTGAAATCAGACACTAAAAAATATCATACGTACCTGCAGTCAGGCAAAGAAGAAAAGATGATTAGCTAAATTATAGTATGAGGCTTTTTTGAAAATATGTAATTTTTTTGAAAATAGCACATTAATTCTATTTCTCATGTTAGAAGACAAATTTTATTGCAATTCAGCAAATGAGCTACACCTGTAAAACTGTTCTGTATATCCAATTCACATTTAATGTCCAATGGATTGAAATGTCACAGGAAAAATAAAAAAGGAAAACAGTACCTGGCTTTGTCATTATAATGTAAACTTCAATGCCCGCCCTTAAAAAAAACAAGCCAGTGATTTCCCCACATAGTAAAATATATCGTTTATAAGGTACTGATGCTTTATCTTATTTTAACAGCCAATCTCTAGGTATAAAATAAAGAACTACAAAGATGTGAAGTACATGTACAATATCTTCAAGTCTTTTCAAGCATCCTATAGTATCTTGCACTATGGACAAAAATCATTTGAAAATATACAGAAAAAGTTAACTCTGAGTAGTTTCACTGCAGAAACCTTAATATATTCATGAATTCAAAACACATCAAAAATACGGATCATCTGGCTAGTAGGTCCCATTTGAACAATTTGAAAAATACTCTTCATAATGGAAAAAGTTGTGGAATAGTCTTCAGTTCATGAATATGTTTTCAGCTACAGAATGACAGATGGTTAAGTTTATGGCAGGTAAAGGCTATCTTTTGTATAAACTTATCATCATAGTATTTCATTACATTTAAAACAGGTCTTTATTAATTTGCATTTTCTTTTTGTATAAAGTATCATTCTATCAACTCTGACAGCACTAATCAAAGAAGCATAAATACTTGATAGGTGATAGCCTGGTTTTTTATTTTGTTTTTTGTTGGGTTTTTTTGTCCTCAAATCAGGTATCAGCCTGTAAACATGTTTGGCCAGTTTAGCACTATATATTTACTGCATTATGAACTACTTACTTTTTACCATTATATTTCTCTCTACAGATTGCATGTCTTCTGCTGTTAAAAAAACATTATCTTTTCCCATTAACTGTTACAAAAAAACCCAACCCAACAAACCAACCAAAAAAACAGTATAGCCACATTAACCTGCCCCTACCAAACCTGCTCCCTTATTTCAGAAAAGTAACAGGAAAAAAAGAAAAGTTACAATTGCATTATTCTATACCTTATTTCTGAACAAAAAATACAATGCAAATTTTAAAAAAGGAGATGGATTTTACAAAGGTCTTGTTAAAAAGTAAAAGATACCGACTACACCATTCGTTCTTATACAGTCATCCAATTCAGCAGAATGGCATGGAAGGAGCAAATGCTGGATCCTAACGTTATTCTGTGGGACTGATGCTAGCTACATCAACGAAAGAAGTGCACTGGTTTGTGGTAAATACCGAAGAGTGGTAGGGATTATTGCTGCTACTACAGACTGAACTGTTCTTAGATATGCCAGCCAAATGTCTTCCCAAAAACCTAGCATAGGCTACCACAGAGCTATATTTAATATCTCAGTCTTCCTTGCTGGCCTCTGGATCCAACAAAACCAACATTTTTTTTTATGCTGCATTTCAGAACCTTCTACTGCTCTTCAGTGGAGCAAATCCTTCCAAGACTCAGAAGTCCATACCAAAAAGTGCTTTGAATCCTAATGGGATTAAACACAGTCCCCCCATGAAAGAAGCAGGAAGGGTCTATCACAAAGCAGTCTCTCCTGTGAAAATAAAGTAACTGAGGAGCTGGGAAGATGATCTCTGCATCTTCCTTTTGCATCTGGACAGCTAGCACAACAGGGTGCTGTCGCTGATGGACAGCTTCATCCTCATGTGCTAGCCAAAGAACCCACCACTTGGGAACCAGCAAACCCCAAGCCTGTGTCCATCCCAGGTATTGCTAACTGTCATAATGAGGCCAAAAAGATCCACACCAAAGCAAGCCATTAAACCAATGGTAACACACAACACTAGATAAACTTGTGCAAAGGGGAAAAAAAAAAAAAAAAAAAAAAAAAAGAAAAAAAAACAACCCCACCTTAGTTCAGGGTTAATTACCTCATGCAAGATAAAATTAATCCATACTTAATACTATGAGAGATAAGGTTTTAACAGGATCAACTAATCTGTTAAGGTCAAAATAATTAATCCAGCCCTCCTTTCTTACACAGACATATTCCCTGTGAAATACACAGGCCTAGTAAAGTCGTCTTAAATATAGCCGAAAGCACTGTAATTTTTTTTTTTTTGCTATTATTAATACATAAATAAGCGATTTGGGGCAAGCGTATGAAGATTATCCCAACATATTAAGTTGAATACATGAAATTCTTAGAATAAAGTACATCTGGTTTATTTTTGCCCCTCCAAAGATGGAAAAAAATGAACAAAACTAGACCTGCACACACAAAATACTTCTCTGAAATACTCCTGTAAGCTTCAGACTGTGAAAGAATTCACACCCACCCAGCATGAGGAGTGGCTTGAACATTGCTCTTGCATCTCCCTAATGCTACTGTGAAATCAAAAAAGAATCTTACTCTGATAAGTAACGACAAAGGAACTTCTCAGTTTAATAATGAAATAAATAGGACAAAAGTAAAAATAGTCAAAAATTTAATACATGTGCTATACGTATAAATTATGGAAATAAAACTATGACAAGATGTGACTAAACTGTAGGTAAAGAAAAGGTGCTACAACATTGTATGAACCAAAAAACTTGGACTCTGCTTCTCAAAAGAGAGACAAACAATACTGAGATAAGTTTATACAGTGGAGACCTCTTAAATACATAGCCCTGAATTTCTGTACAGTAACTTGTGATGTTGATAAATCAGCCTGTTCTTAAGTCACATATTCATTTCAAAGAGATTTTTATCAGAGGATTCAAATGAATAGAGATGCCTTTAGGCATCTGCCAAGTTCCAGATCTCCAATAAATTAAGCTTTCAAAATGTTTGTATTTTATTGTAGAAGTGGACTAAAGCTTTCTCTGCTAAAAACAAAAGCATCCCAAATGAAGCAGACTGTGACAACAGGACCCAAGACATATTCATTCAAAAGGAAAAGAAAAAGCCTTACTACTCATTGCCTTTTCAGAAAAAAATAAGAAATCCTTGTATTTCTTAGTAAGGCATACCATTATTATTTCGTGGGTGCAAACACATCTTTATTTAGTCATCTGGCATTTGGGGAACTCATGTCCCTCTTCATTAGCAGTTAAGAGAATTACCAGCAGCAACTAGATACCACATTTCAAAAGGCTGGTTCAAGTGGAAACATTTTTGTGTTATGAACCATTATTCCAGGTTTTTTCATTTAAGTGGGCTGCACTGTAAATTCTGAATTGCAACACAATATAGCCAGTTGTATCATAGAAGATTTTTTTTTAAAAAGACAAACTTACAAAACACAACGATAGGTTAAATAAATAAAAAACATCAGTTAAAAAACACGCTTAATTTCTTCTGTGCAATTACGTACCAATATGAAAAATATTACTTTGATCTCTGCACATTTCACGGTTCAGTCTCCTGGATTTCACTAGAAATAATACTGACAACCAAAATAAAGGAAAAATGATTTGTTGACAAATCAGTGCTTTGGAGCTATTAAAAAAAGCACACATCAGATTTGTACTTCCCTTGCAGCAGAACATGACCCGATACATTAAAAAAAATCAAACATTGGTAATAATGTTAATATATAAAATATTAGTTTAAAAACTATAGAATGACCTTCTCAGCAGAAATGGAGTGTATACATTGTGGTCTATGACATACAGCATGTCTGAAGGCAAGTTCACAGAATGCTGATAGGCTCACTGCACATTTACTATGGCAAGGAAATACTGCAGCTTTAAAATAAGCTGCACAATACTCATCTCTATCTCTTTCACATGAAAGTGTGTAAAAAGCAAATCAGCAAATAAACTCTAAAATAGATTTATACCAAAATCCTCTTTTTTACATTGAGTTTACAGCTTCTATCCATTTGCCTGTACTATTTTTGGAGTTTCCTTCAAGAAAAGTCAAAGCTGCATTTTAGAGCCATGAACAAGTTCACGATACAATGTACTGGCAGACAGAACTTTTGCATACTAACGAGATTCACTCCTTGTTGCTTTTTTTTTTTTTTTTTTAAAAGATAGTTTTTCCTGTGGGACAAGAGGTCAAATATCGATTCCTTTGACAAGAGATGCCTCCAGCGTAATGTTGAACTCCTGCAAGGTCTGCAGCACTCGAATCAAAGAATTCACAAGAGTATGATCCTTAATCAGTGCTATGTCTTCATACATCTGTGCTGTGATCGGGCAGTCTGCGAGCAAGGCGATCCAGTGATGCAAAAGGTGGTCTCTGACAAAGTGGCAATTTGCAATTTGGAAATAAAAATAGAGCCAAGTTAACTTCTCATTTTCACTGACATGATTTTTATTCTTTGCCTTCTAAACAGAGCTACCATCTTCTCTGCCTATTTTTATAAGGTGGGGAAGGGAGAGTAACTGTCTGTGGAACTTGTTTAAGTAGGGAGCACCTGTGAGAGACGCATTTCTAGGCTTTTCCACCCCTCACATCAAAAGATATGGTTCACAGGAGGCCTGGAAGTCCCAAGCAGGCCCAAAGTCACTAGCCTGCTCCATTGCCTTTGGTCAAGAGGCTGCTAGATGGTCCCAGCTTCCCTCCTACAATGAGCAGGTGGAGGGTAGGGAATTCACCCAGCCATTAACTGGAGAGACCTTACTAATGGATAGTTTTCTGTTTCTATTTTCCAACCTTGCTAGCTGTACATGAGAGGGAGACTATTCACACCAGCCTACTACCTTTCTCTTTTGCTTCAGCTGCTCAGCACTTTGGGATACTCGGTTTTGTATGTCAGATTTCCCACACTTCACATGCCTAAGAACTCAGTTAGGGCATGGTTCACTTGATCCTTCTTTAGTTACATCAAAGAACTGTAAAAGTAATAGTCAAACTGCACAACTCAGCAGTTGTGTGCCTTTATCTTGCTAATACATAACATCCTTTTCATTTTATTAAAATATCAATAATAAGAGTAACAATAATAATAAGTTTCTTTATACCTGGCTCCAAGACACACCAGCATTTGAAACTTGCCATCCTTCCCAATGTTTCTAGGGGTGTTGTTGATAGCAGTGATAAAGCGACAGAAATTCCTGGCCCTTGTCTGCCAGTTCTCTTCTGGGACCATTTCATTCTGCTCAAGGGTCTCATAGTATGTTTGTGCTTTTTCTTAAAAGAAAGGTAGGAGATAATGAAGTGTCATCAGTGCATACAGCAGTCCTAAAATATCTGAAATATCATTCTCCTGTGCTTGGAATAAAATAATTAGGCACTATGACCTTCAAATTTAGATGATTAAACTTAATACCACCTCAGTTTAATGGTTTCCCCATAAGCATGCTTACAAATCCGTAAGGCTATCCGATGCCCTTATCGGACCATCGGCAACTCAGCATGAGTGTCTGCATCATGGTTGGCACAGTTAAAGTTGAAAGGCCTAGATTCAAAGCTCATCCATTAATTTCTTAGATGATTATGTCTAGGCATTGTTTCCCCATGTGTAAAACTAGGATTCCACTTCCTTCCCTGTGAACAGTGCTAAAGAAGTTCTAGTATCTGCTGAATTTTGAGATGCTACAGTAAAATGATATCACGAGATGCCATCAAGGTGCCTCCAAGAAGTACGCTGTTCACACAGCTGAGACACAGTGGCAAGCAAAAGGCACACGGATGGATATATTTCAAAGACACAAGAAGGCTCTGATATGTCTTCCTCCCACTTACCTAAAAAGTCCCAAATAAAGACGTTTTTGAAGAGTCTCGGTGATTTAAATCCATGCTGAAACACTTGCTCAAGAGCTGAAACAAGTCCACTTTCTCCACACAGCAACAGCGTCAGACTGCCTCTCTGCCAAGCACACACAGAAAGCACACACGCTTATTATCTCCGTTTGGAAGCATGGGACACAAAAGCATCTCATGCATCTATTACTGAAACTAGTTTTTATATAAATAGATGCCCAAAGTTACAGTCTACTGTCAAACAGTGGCTCCAGACAGGATGGCCCAGTTCTCCCAAGTCCTGAGCATTCAAAAATTTGTTGACCTCTCCAAGAACTAGGCTGAAGAAAGCAGTCTCAGGGCCTCGTCGTCATCAAATGAAGCCACAAAAAGAACAAGATAAAGATCATGAACACATTTTACCTATAATAATAACCACTGTACAGAAAATTAAGAAAATATTTTCCTCTTTTACTAAGTAATAAAGATCACAGGTCCATTGTAGCAGGTGCCTCAGACTGTTTGCTTATCAACAAAAACAACATTTGATGCAATTTTTAAACCTCAGAAAAACACCGAATTCTTCTTTAGAACATGATGGTAAATTCTATTTTGCAAAACCAGTGCATGACCACTTGAGGTTATTGTGTAACTGTGATCATCAATCACAATAATACTGTAGATTAATTTGCCATGCTATACTGAACTTAGAAAAGATAGGTGCGGAAGGAATGGGAGGACCTATTTGTAAAAAATTAAGGACTTTGAAGAGATATCCGTACAGGAGCCAGCACTGCTCTACACCACTCCTGCTCACAAGGGCTGGATTTTGATGCTTTCACAAAGGCATGCTTAAGTTTGTTTCAGGAAATAACTGTCGTGTCAGTTAAGATAATTACATGTATACTGTACAAGTGGGCTTTGAAAGCACTTTTGCTTCACTTGCAGTGGGGGGTGGGTGTTTGGGTGTGGGTCTTTTCTTTCTTTTTTTTTTTGTTTTTTTAAAGTGGCCCATGGGTTCTCATGTTTTAAGTAGCAAAGATAATGCAAAACAGGCATAAAAAAAACCGACCCAGTACTCAATGTAGATGTACAATGCCAGTTAATCCAGAACAAACTAAACAGAAAGCAAGACTCTTGACAGTGGTACAGGTAGAATCCTTGGCAGAATTTGACTAATAACACAATTTCCAGTAACAGAACGTTAACATTTAAATTAACAGAATGCTCCAGTTAGCAGCAAAACTGAGGTACTTCAGGATGTACTATTCCAACAGTGTAGTCTCAGTATCTCATTTTTGCTCCACTTAAGGAATTTTCAAACAGATGGTTGTTCATTCAGTCAGTTATTTCTGTTATATATTCTACAATGCTTACTAAAGAGAGTTTTAAGACAGGATTGCCACTACACAGACAACACAACTCCTCACCTCCTTCTCTGGCTTGTGGAAATGCTTGACAATACCATTGACAGCTTCACCAATAGCTTCTTGTATCTGACCAGTATTTAACTCTGCAAAATAGAAAAATATATCCAGTCACTCTGTAATAGCTTTAGAAATTGTACCTGTGCCTGAGGGATAAAGCATACCACAAAAAAAAAAAAAAGGGGGGGGGGGGGGGGATAACCTATACTGTTAGCGAAAAGGTGCTGGACTGTGGGTAATAGAAATCCAATTCTAATTTTATTCACTGTGGAGGAGGTAGAAATTGAGATGGTTTGGGTTTGTATCCAAGTTAACACCATGGTGTTTCAACACAACAGGTGAAAAGGCTTTTTACATATTATGTGCATTTTCAGACCAGGGCCCAAACCTAAGAAAAGGAGATGTGCTTTGACTGGGACCACCAAATCTGGGCATCCTGGAAATACTTCCTGTGATAGTTTCACTGTAAACCCAAGCATGCTCGGGAGCTAAGTAACCACTTGATTTATCAGGAACAAGACAACCCCAGAAAAGTGATCTCAGTAGAAAACTAAAGTCCATGAATAGAAACCACTAGCAAGCTTTTTTATCCATGAAGGATAGATAGAGACAGGACAGCAATTTTCTGCCTTCTTCCATAGCGTTCATTCCACAGATGAAAGACAAGAATATGGAAAATACCACTAGGGCAGCTAAGCACTGGACCAGGAGTCCAGAGACATCTTCCTTCCATCCTTGGAGACTTTCAAAACTTGAGTAGATAGAACAGGTTGCTTAGGATTGTAACTCAGAAGTTAGCTGAACTTTGAGCAGGGGCCTGAGCTAAATGAGTTTCACAGGTCCTCTCCAAGCTACAGTTCTAAAATACAAAAAACCCTACAGTTCTGTTTGCAAGCAGCTCTCCACAGGTGATGATGCAGAACAGTACAAGACAAGACATCCCCCACCACTCACTTGGCTTATTGTTTGGCGATATAGTGACAAATCTTCTGATCATGCTTGGTGACTGCTGCAAAGGAGGGGTTCGGCACTGCCGCTCATCAACCTCAGTGTGGGAAGTCAGCAACTCTCCCACAAGGATCCTCTCTAAACTGCCATCATCCATTCCCTTTCCAAGCCACCTTCCACAGGGAAACCTAAGAACATAAGGGAGATATTTGGATCAAGTCCTTCAACCCAGATCCAATTCCATGCTGAAGACTTTCAACTGCAGTTGCATAAAACTCAAATTCTGCTAGTATAGTCATTAGAAATACTTCACTCATCTAGCAACAAATAAACAAAGCCTTGGTTTTGGCTTTGGCCAGCAGAGGGAGCAAAAGTAAAACAGCTTTGCAGTTCCAGGTTTGTGCTAAATGTCACACAAGATGATCTGCAAAGCAAACAGTGGCTGATTTTGTCTTGCGTCCTATATGCAGCACACGATTTGAGGGCTGCAGAGGAAAAGAGGTGTAAGGGGCAGACCCACTACACACTACAGATGGGTGGTGAAATACACCTATGCTTTCATTGAATACGTTACATAGCAGGCCAGCCACAAAAGAGACCCCAAACAAACACTTAAATGCCAAAACACCAATACTTCTATTGAAATTGGGATATTAAATCAGACACTAGAAAGCACATGTGCTCACTTTCTCCTTATGACTTTCTATGAAGTAATGTTGATGTCAGTTTAATCAGCTTAATCAAAAAACTGAACAGCATCCAAAAATAGAATCTTGCCTCTTCATTTAATTACAAACAAACTGGCATGGAGAACTGAGTGGACTTACCCACCAATTTGTCATCAACATGAGCCTGACAGTTTCTCTAAGCAAAGGACAGGGCATCAAACTATGCTGTACCTAACACAAATAAATTTAATTCTTACTGTAAATCTTGTTCCTTTACTTTCACTATGCAAACACAGGTTTCTAACACTCATAAGCCCGTGTTCCAGCTTGTGTCCAAATATCTCTCTATAACACCTCGAGCACTCAGCCTTAATATAAAATACCACCCATATTTGGTAAGTAGCAAGCTCTAACTTGCTATTTCTTCCTTGGGCTCAAGGCAGATTATTTTTTAAGATGCGTAACAGTCAACTCATCTTCTCCACCAATGTTTGGAGGCTAGACATGAGCATCTGCAAACTGAAAACTCTGTTTAATCTTGTAAGAATCATGACTTGTTTAATGCCAGAAGCCAAATGACCTTTCTATGCCTTCAGGTAGTGGCAGCTGTAGACACAGAGTTCTAGGAGATAAGACCTTTCTAATCAAACAAGCCCTACTGTGCCAGCTCCCTGCAGAAATTCTACTTACCCAACATGAAATGTCAGGATGATACTTACTTGTAAGTATGCCCTGTTATTTCATTTCTGACCATAACATATTCCACTAGCCACTTGGCATACAGCCCTGAATTATCATGTCCTATTTGCACTGTGGTCAGTTTTCCCAGGTTCTGGCACTGCAAATTAAACAAAGAGTTTGTCAGAGTAAACTGAAAGAGAGCAGCATGTTGGAGGAGTAAACTATTAGAGAACATGCTCAGACAGGGAAACAGAAATGTTCTCCTTTTCTGACTGCATGATTCTGACTGGGCTTTTTAGGCGTAGGTTGCTTTATTTGTTTTTGTTTGCTTTATTTTGTTAAACACTATTTTGATCAGCAGAGAGAACATCAGCTGAACTAGATTTTTCAATTACATTTGACCCAATGCATGCACAAAAGTCAGAGTGGAATCACTTGTTTGTTTCCAACAGAAGAGGGTATGACACCTCCCACCGTTACAGCACAAAGTTGTAATATAAAAGTCTTGTCCATCCTTGTACTAAGAATTTGTCGGTCATTTTGCTCCATATGTTATTAACTACAGATTAGATTTGCTACGTACAGGCACAGGAAGTATTTGCGACTAACCACATAGACTAAAGATATGAAAAATACAGCAAGATGGTACAGCAAGGGCAGAATTTAAAACGGAACAAACAGAACATCCAAAGCATTTTTTGTATCAAGCAATACAAACCTCAAATGTCATTTCTAATATATTCCTGGGAATCTGCAGGACTCCTGTTTCACCCAGTTCTCCCGAGATACAGATCCAAGGATTGGCTGTAAACATTGAGCCACCAAGTTTCTTGCTAGGAACAATCAATATATGGTATGGTATCACTGCAAACACAAGAAGAAATAACACTTCAGAAATGAAGAAGGATAATTATGTAACATCTTTAATGAAGAGAGGGGGAAAAGATAAGTCATAAAATAATACTGTAGTACCATGAAATGTTAAAACAACATCAGCGCTGCTATTTAATCATGCTAACATTTACACACTAAGCACTGACTGACAATCAGGAAGTGCACATACAGCAGTCATTAAGAAGCAGAGTTGATAGCAAAACTGCCAAATGAAAAAAGAAATATGCATGGAATAATGCCTTCCTATGGATATAATAATTTTTCATTTGCCAGCCTCAAAACATGTCATAAAGATGGTTACTTGTCCCCAGCTTAGAGACAAGGAAGTAAAGACAGAATACTTGTGTATCCAGGACTCCATTGTAGCTCAGCATGCAACTTAATGCTCAACTCCTAACTCCCTGCTTTTGCGTGTGCATGTATGCATACTACACAATTAATGCCAATTCCCATTCAATTACTAACCGAAGCCTTTGTTTTCAGGGCTTGCTTGCAGCAGCATTTGCTACTGTGGCTGAACAAATTCAGTGAAAATACACTACAATGCTGCAAGTTTCTCTGTACCATGTTGCTCTTAGTTATGCTAGCTGTAAGATTTCTTGATTTTAAAAAGAACAAACAACTTTTTTGCCCTCTAACTGGCACCACACATGCTCAATCGCTTTCTGGTCCCCTGGTTTACCAGCAACTAGTTCAACATAGTATCACCTAACTTATAGCCCTTTCTCCAACTCAGGAGGCATGTGCTCCTGAGGAAATGCATGCGCTCTTCAATCGCCTAGTATCTCATGCACAGCCCCCTATTAACCAAACTTTTATAACAAAATCCAATTATCTGGATGGTCATTGTGTTTCTTGGCGATCTGCCCTTATTTTATAGTGCATAAATGGATTATAGTTAGGGCTTTTCAGCTGAGGCTTTTAATACATTTCTCCCTCAATGTCTCCTCAGCTGTCAGTGCCCTCAAGAAAGCATTTGGTGGTTGGATTTTCTTAAAAGCTTGATGCTCGAAGCATTTAAGAATGAATTAAAATGTTTCCCTTTTTATTTTCTGTGTTTATAGTCTTAAAGTAAATGACAGTTTAACTGCATCCAGCAGACCAGATTTTAGCATTGTCCAGAACCTGCTCACAAGAGCAAAAACTATTTTGCTTAGACATCTGCTTGCTGTGTCTTTCATACACATAAATGTGTACCATAACATACCATCAAGAGTAGCTCCTACCATGGGGCCAAAGGGGTCCTTTCGCACAACCCCACCCCCAATTTTATAAGCCTTGCTAAAGTCTTTCCTTACTCTGCCTTACTAGTGAGGTCCTGTGGCAGCAGGCACACAAATGAGAACTCTATAACACATTTAAGCATCAGCAACAACAGGTTAAAAGTTTCTCTAGGGCCTCTTTTTTTTAAAAAAAGAAAAAAAAAAAGGAAATTTTTTTTTAAAAAAAAAAGGTATTCAATGTGTTGCAGAGTTCTGATGCAGCCCTCAATTCCATTGTTATCCCAAACTCAGACAGGCATGTGGCAAAGTAGGCTGAGCACAAAAAGGGGAAGGTCGTCTTTGATTTAATTCCTAGCATGTGTTAATATTCTTACCTTGATAATGAACAATCCATACTGTTCTTGTTTAGTGTGATGCAAACACGCCCACCACAAAATTTTTTGTTGAGAACTCTCCCCCAACTAAAAGCTGCCTGTCTTTTACCAAGTTAGAAGCAAAAGCCTTTAGTGACACAGAGAGAGACACCACTGCCCACCAGAGAGGATCATCGAAATAGTGGTACAGCATACACAGATTGATACCAAGAAGAAAGCAGAACAATTACAGTAATGCATGTTGCTCAGAGCTGTTTAGAATTTTGGATAAGGACTCAACCAACTCTGGAAATCAGAGTTCCAGGGAAAGCAAATACTTACAGATTGTTGTGAAAACATTGGTAAAGCAAAAGTAATCAACAGCATTGAATGACAGGAGATGATACAAGAATTGTTCTTTTTCATCATCACAGCGGAGGAATGCATAACGCTTGTAGAGTTTTCTGACAAAGCAAAACAAATAATCTGTCATAGTAACAAGATGCTTTCAGTGAAATTTTCTATTATGCATATTTATTAGGTAAACTATGAAGAATATGCAAGCTATTACAAATGACAAGTGATACTGGTAGATCCAACAGTATTTAATGCGCCAAGATATGTCAACACCCTGCAAGTCTGAAGTCTCCCAAATGCATCAGTCCAATACTTCACACTATTTTCAACTCCTCAAAAGCAAGGTTTGGGGTGGTCTAAGGGTCTTCTCCCACCCCAAAACACCGCAAAAGATGGAAAAATAACTTTTGTACTTTCTTGGAAAAAATTCTCTGACTTCTTTTGCCCATGTAAAAAGCCAGAACTGAAGTAAAGAGAGTTCTTGCAAGTTACGTCTGAGCTGGTGGTGCTGTGGGAGAGTCCTCCAGCACATGACATAAGACAGAAGACTGTTTTCAAAGGACACTAGGGCAAACTCTGGGGCTATCTGCTTGTATTAGGTTAGAGGTGATAACCCAGGGCCTACAACAACCTGCACATTAAGCTAGGGAACAGCTTCAGTACTGACAGTACACAGCTCCTGACATAACCAAAATCATAAGCATGCAAAGGTGGCCTAACGTTCTACTGTTCGCTTTTACTGGGTTGCAAACCCTTTGCTAGGACTGCAACTCCACACAGGACTGCAACTTTTTTGGAAGTGGAAATACCAAAAGATGTAGCTCAGTAGCCTTCTCTCACTAGTGGAGACACTGATGCCTATGCAGAAGAATGCACTGTAAACAGAAACAATTTTATATACTTATTGAAATTACTCAAACACATTAGAGAATTTAACACTGCAAGACTTGCAACTGAGAAACTGAAAAGAATGTATAACCTCAGCCTTTTCAAGTGTAAATTTTGACAGGAAAACACTCTTAAAGTTACTCACTTGTACGTAGCAATCGCCACTATTTTTCTTAATTATGCAACCAATAAATAATACCAGTGTCAGTGAATAATCATAAAGCAAGAGCATGCCAAGATGCATCAAAATCCAACTGACACTAGAGGAATATTCAAAACTTCATGAATGCTTGAATCACGCGTTAGAAATGCTGACACAGCCATGGACAGGTTGATCCTGCCAGGAGGGCATCCTGACAATTCCCCTCAATTTCATATATCAATTACAAAAAAGTCAGCAAGCGACTCACAAGCCAGAAATTTGCAAAACAAATCAATGATGATTAGCACACACACATATTCTTACTTACATAACAAACATAACACTAGAGATTAACAGGAAATGTTCAATAGAAATAAAGATACTGAGCCTTAAATCAACATAACCTGCCTGCAGCCACAGGAGCATCAAACCCACAAAGGTCTCACGGGTGACCGTGTCTATGTTTCATTTGAACAATCTGAACCACATGTTTATAGACAGCCTGTCCACAAGGGTATGTGCTCTCCTGCCTTTTCAAAGTGTAAGATTTCTCAGTTTAGTTGTGCTTGTAAAGGTCTCGAGGGAGTGAAGCTATGTGTTTTCCTTCTGTTCCCTAACTCCTTTGCAGACTAGAAAGAAACCAAAACATGTTTGTTTTCTTATATTTTTTAGCAAATGCCAAGTGAAGAGAATGGGTTAATTAAAATATCTAACAGTTGCTTCAAAAAAGAACACCACACAATCACGTTCTGTAAAATGGCAAAACCTGCACAATTACTTTTAGTACCTCACTGAACTTGGCACTTATTCCTCTAAAAACAACAAATCGAGCACACTTTAAATCCATGCTGCCTACAACACCTTTCTTCAAGTAAGATATCTAAATATGCAGCACAAAGCACACAAGATTGCAAAGAATTGACATCATTCCTATGCAAGTTGCTCTTTTGCTTGTCACTTTCATTTTAAACATATTTTTGCTGCTGCTTCACTCTGTTCTAGAGAACCAGAATCTGACAGACGAACAGTGCATTGGCCACTGTTAAGAGAGTTGGGATTTTTTTTTTTTTTTTTC